AAAATTACGTTTTGATATATTTACAGTAGGAAATTTACAAAATATCTTTATGGAACATGATCTTTACTTAATATCCTAATGATTTTTGGCATAAAAGAAAAATCAATAATTTTGACCCATGTATTTTTGGCTATTGCTACAAATATACCCCAGCGACTTAAAACTGCTTTTGTGCTCCAGGGTCACTCACACACACACACACACACACATACACATACATACATGCATACATATATTGTATATGGGTTGTAGATTAGAGGATGGGAATATATATCTTTGGGAAGCATATATTTTTGGGAAACGTTTAAAGCACACTTTTAAGAAGAGTACTTTTTACAAAATATAAATATATACAAAATATAATAAAAAAAACACTTAAGTATGTTTTTGGGAACTTAACTGCATATTAATGTATTATGTATTATAGTTAGCGGAACTTTAGTGTTTTTGACCCACTTAAGTAGGACTTAAGTACATCTTCATATGTAATTTCTTAATTCTATTTTCTTTGAAATGAAGTGTACTGCAGAATGTACAGATTTGTTTGTAATGATGTAGATGCAATTGAATACATTTAAAATATTTTATCATTAAATGTTATATCAAATACACTACAGTTAAAGTTATAATCAGGAACTTTGCATGTCAACAATCAAACTATGCGTACTTCTTTAAAACATAACATAAAACAAATGATTTAAAATGTACTTTAAATAAAATTTTGGATTTGACATGATTTCAATGTGCACTTAATGTGTTAAACATAGTGATGAAAGTTACTCTCTTTAAGTACAATTAGGTGGCCTTTTATTTAATTACTATTGTATTATCTGCGCATACAGCTTTTTTAAATATATACTTTTAAGATTTGAAGTACACTACAAGTGCACAGCAATACAATTAAGTGCACTTCTTTTCCACTAATATTGTAAAGTTAAAATCTCTGTGTGTGTGTGTGTGTATGTGTGTACTGGTTTATATATCCTGGTGGGGACTTAAACCTGACTACACACAGACTCATGGGGACTCGTGTCACGGTGGGGACCTAAATTGTGGTCCCCACGGGTACAAAAGCTTATAAATCATACAGAATGAAGTTTTTTTGAAAATCTAAAAATGCACAAAGTTTCCTGTGAGGGGTAGGTTTAGGTGTAGGGTTGGTGTAGGGCAATAGAATATACGGTCTGTACAGTAGAAAAACCATTACGCCTATGGAGAGTCCCCACAAGGATAGCTGACCAGACATGTGTGTGTGTGCGTGTGTGTGTGTGCGTGCGTGTACGTGTGTCTGTGTGTGTGTGTGTGTATGTGTGTACTGGTTTATATATCCTGGTGGGGACTTAAACCTGACTACACACAGACTCATGGGGACTCGTGTCACGGTGGGGACCTAAATTGTGGTCCCCACGGGTACAAAAGCTTATAAATCATACAGAATGAAGTTTTTTTGAAAATCTAAAAATGCACAAAGTTTCCTGTGAGGGGTAGGTTTAGGTGTAGGGTTGGTGTAGGGCAATAGAATATACGGTCTGTACAGTAGAAAAACCATTACGCCTATGGAGAGTCCCCACAAGGATAGCTGACCAGACATGTGTGTGTGTGCGTGTGTGTGTGTGCGTGCGTGTACGTGTGTCTGTGTGTGTGTGTGTGTGTGTGTGTCTGTGTGCGTGTCTGTGTGTAAGGGAAGTAGAGTTCTGATGTGTGTGTGTTTGTGGGTATCAGTGTTATTCCGCCCGTATGTTTTTCAGTGTGTGCATGGGTGTGTTTGTGGCCGGTGCTCTTTCTCTCTCTGCTTGACTTATACTGCCGTGGTTTGGCTTCATTTTGAGTCTAACCACAGACTTATTCCACCGCCCTCCTACAATCACACTCATGAAGCCTCTCTGTGCTGTTCCTGGATCAGCTGTGCTGTCTGAAACACAATGCTTTAAAAACAGCTCAGATGGAGTGGTCTAACTCTAGATCAGCGCCGCGGCTCTGCTGTCTGTTTCGGGTGTTGCTGTTCAGTGAATCAGGGCTGGTTTGCATTAAGATTCGCAGATGAGCAGACTTGAGGTTTCAGGAATGAATGTGCTCATGAAGAAGAATTCAGCAGAACTGAAAACATATGGGTACTTCTGGACAAAGATAATTAAAGGGATTTCCAAAGCAAGTCTGGAGTTTCCCTGCTAGACTAAAGAAACAGACACCGAGCTGATTCCAACAGGTGTGTGTATCAGGAGCACAGTCTCTCTTTTTGGACGTTGAATGAGGAATGCTTTAAACAAACATTCAGCATTTTTAAAATGTTACATTATACAGTGGATCTCAACTGGGTTTGTTTCAATGCCAGATTTTTCAGGTTGGGCTCAACACAGTACAAAAACTGTTCATCACACAACACTAAACAACATTTCATTTAGTAACTACGATAGACATTGTGGCAACACAATAAGGGAACACGTTCTCTCAGTATTCAGAGTAGTTCTCAGTTAGCTTAGCTATGTTAAATACAAGGTTTCAGCCTCGCAAATAACCAAATGTTACTAACCACAGAGTACAACATCATTTGTCACAGTAAAGTGGAAATTATATGCTTACAATTTGAATATATAAAACAAGTTTCATGATTTTAATTAATTAGACATGTTTTTTTGTTAAAATTTAATATAATCATCCAGAAAAATAAAAAAATTAATTAACTGAATCCAGAAATTAGGGCCCCATTCCTGTATTTTGCCTGGGGCCCCCAAATCACTAAATCCGCCCCTGCTAATATCAGCAGTACGCCATGGGTACTGAGGCACAGGTGGCACCTGAGAATGACCCACATCTATCCAGGTTACATACAACTATAAATCTCATAGATATTCCATTCCAGACAATATCTAAACATGAATGCATGAAAAAAAAAAAAAAAAGCACTTTTGGATTGCAGCTCACCTTTTTAAATTGCTGTCAGTGTTATGTAGATGCTTTTTTTAAATCCATGCATAGCAGGACGAGGTTCTTCTGCAGGCATTATGGTAGAGCTTCTTTGCATTGTAATGCAGCCTCGCCGCTGACCCCTGCCGATGTCATCAAACCGTGCGCGCGGGTGGCGGTGAGATCGATCGGGCCGGACAGCGCGCAGCGGCGTGAGTGACCGCTTCAGGAAAGCGGTGACAGCGGAGCTTCAGAGCACTGCGGACGGGAGAGGAGCTACAAACACACCCGCTATGTATCACTATGGTAAAAATGAGAGGTTTCACCGGTGTAGAAAAAGCCTTCCAGGACTCCTCTAATTGCGCTCTGGAAGATGTGTGTGAGATTGCATTTGAAAGAGCGTGAAGCTGGACGCACTGTAACCTCTTGTTTCTTCACTCAGCACGTGTTTTCAGATCATCTCCACAGTCTGCTTTAGTGACCTTCTGCAGAGATTGGTTTACATTCACTTTGGAGGACAGTCTCTCCAATATTTCATTCTGCTGGACATTTGAAGTTACTGTATATTCAGACTAAATTTCATATAGGCACACATATATATATATATATATACAGGTGCATCTATATATATATATATATATATATATACACACAACACACATGGTTGATAGTAAACAAACCTGTAGAATTTTCAAGCAATGGCCAAAGTATTAAGAAAGTATTCATGCCAAAGTAATTTTTAAGATTATGCCTGATTATGGGAACATGGAATTAAACTGGAAATACAAATGTTTTATTTAATACAGAAAAACAAAACAACACATAAACGGATATTTGGTTTAAATGCATTTGATTATTGTATTGTCATTTATTGAAATAAGTTACAATTCAAATGCAGAATTTATTGGACATTCCATTAAACATGAGGAATACTGTTGGAAACAGCTGGAAGCAACGCTTTGAAATCCTCGCAAACCTACATCCTCCTTGCAAAACACTACAGGATGACTTCAAACTGATTTGAGGTAAATCACAAGAGATGTACCGAAGATTTGGCTTAGAAAAAGAATTCAGATATACAAAGATATTCAAAGAGGTTCTGCAAAAGTTACTGTGAGCGTTTCAAACAGGTGAGGAACACTGGAAGAGAAAGACCTTGATCTCGAAAAGAGACACTAAACAGATTTTTGGAAAGTGAACCCCGTATATTGATATGCATCAGAAATATGTGATTGTGCCTCTGCTGAGGTGGAGAGGAACAAGATCGATCATTAACAGGAACAAAAAAAAGAAACCGTTGAAAGTCACAAATTATTCCAGCATTTGGTGCAGTTAGACAGCAGAAATCTCCACCAAACTCAGTATGTGATGCTAAATATGACCCACTCACAAGATCTGAAAGAGGTAGATCCCTACAATTCTCTAGGTCTGTGATCAAGTAAAAACAAAGGTTTGCCAGTATTGAGAATAGTGCAGATGTTAGATGATAGGGTAAATCTGATGAAACCTCTCAAAAACATATTTCACCCCAAAATCAAAAGAAAACTATTTTTTATTACATTTTATACCATTTATGACATCTAGCACTTAAGCACACTCCCTCACCCCAATTCTATTTTACCGTATTACACTAAAAAACCTGTAATACTAAACCTGTGTAAATGTAAGGCAGCAAATGTATTCCTTTAAACTTTTTGTTTTGCTTTAAAATGTGAAAATGTGCTCAGTTGTCATAAAAATAATACAAAAACAGCTTCATATTCTTTATGCAAAAATTGTTTCTTTTCTTTTTTGGGGGGATCCAGACAGGTTTAATGAGATAGTTCATATTTGGCTGTGCATAATAAGCTGAGAGTTTAGCATGCTCAGAGATACTTGGATAGAAACAGAAACATTCATTATGAGGTTTTTTTGCATGCAAATGTTAAGGCTTCTGGTCGTGGGCTGATGGGGAGGCCTTCTGCTCTCGCACCATGCTTCATATTTTTATTACAAACAAAAGGAAGAATCAAAGGTTTCAAAGCACACAGAAATCATTTCATTTCCAGAGAGAGACGTGATTCCAGCTTTCTGAGGTCTGCTGGTTTCCATGACGATCAAGCAGCGAGGCGCTGAGTGGCCAGTTCCTCGGCATCGTCGCGGTTCTCGTTGATCTCCGCCAGCGTCCGCACGAAGCGGGTCCATTCGTCGTTTCGCGGGACTGCGATTTGCTTTGGTGGAACAGAGAGAGAGAGAGAAACATAATACAGGAGTGTTTGGTAAAGAGGTGTAAAGTCTGCAGTGGCCACACCGCGGACGATCAAACTATTCTGGGATTGTCAGAGTGAACTGACCCCTGGCTAACAATCCTCCATCTCATTCTTCTACTCTATCTGCTGAGTGACAGAGGCCCTCTGTGGCCCCTGAAGCACCCCTCTCTGACAGACATGCAATTGTAGTGTGTGTCATCTTTAGAGACTCCGCTTGGGCTTTTTACACGACTGTCTCAGTGACAGAACGGGAGCGGGAGAGAGAAAGCCACTGAAGGTGTTACCATGTAGTCGGTCTGTGATGTGTTGTAATATGCTGTACATTATCTTTTCATTTAACACTATTCATGGCAGAAAGGTTATTGAATATTAAAGCGCCATAACTCCACAGTGTTTGATTCATTTTCATGCAATTGAGTTTTACTTAAACATTTTAAATCTAATTAGTAACAGTTTGTTTCAAAAACTGACTGAAAAGTGATTTTCATTAAGTGATTTCAGAGCAAATACATAAATATCCATATATGCTGAATAATGTCAACAGGCTGAAAAATGTGTTTTTATATAACTGTTTTAACTATATTGCTCAACTCTAAAAAAAAATAAAATAAATAGTGGTGGATAACAGTTCGGTCCATTATTGTTAATTCTAAATATGTCAGCGTGTGTTGATGTGCCTCATTTGTTCAGTAATATTTCATGTTTCACCTCTGTGTCATTGTTGAGGTTCCACAGGTCGACGCGTCCGAGTCCGTCCACACAGGCGAAGAGAGCGGGATGCACCGGAGACCACATAACATCATAAACATAATCAGAGTTGTCCTCAAACGAGTACAGCGGCTTGTTATTCTACAGCAGAGAGAGAAACACAGTCAGCCGAGAGACTCATGAATGACAGCGTTATGGAATAAGTGTTTATGAATGCTGTGCTACCTTGGTGCTCCAGAGTTTAACGGTCCAATCAAATGAGGCGGTCAGGAAGAGATGAGAGAAATCTACGGGTCCTGCCGCTGTGTGACAGTGAATGCCTGTGATTGGACCATGATGCCCCTCAAACATCTCACTGATCCCTGCCCGACTGCTCACACACACACACACACACACACACACACACA